TCCAGCCGGGAGCCTGCAAACAGCTGCTCTGGAGCCCAGGCATCAGCTCTGTACCGGTGCATGCATGCGCGCCTCAGAGTGGGTGGGGGGGGTGAGGCCTGAGGTAGCGCAACCCCGGTCTCTCCCCCCGCTCCTGGCACAGAGTTGGTGACTGGGCTCCAAAGCCTGGCACAGCTGTTTGTAGCCAGTCTGGGCTCTGGGCAGCTGCAGCAGGCATGCTGGTGGTGACTGCACGCGCACCTCAGGGCAGACAGCAGGGCAGCACAGCTGCCCCAAGGTGCGCGCACAGTCCCCGCCAGCATTGAGCTGATGCCGGAGCTGTGGAGCCCAGCACAGCTGTTTGCAGCCTGCTTGCTGCAGCTGCCCAGAGCCCAGACTGGCTACAAACAGCTGTGCCAGGCTTTGGAGCCCAGTCACCAACTCTGTGCCGGGAGCAGGTGAGAGACCAGGGTTGCACTGCCTCATGCCCCTCCCCTACCGCCCGCTCCAAGGCGCAGGTGCACGCGCTGGTACAGAGCTCATGTCTGGGCTCTGGAGCCTGGCGCAGCTGTTTGCAGCCTCCCGGCTGCAGCCGGCCCCAGCTCTGGGTAGCTGCTGCCAGCTGGGAGCCCAGGCTGCTTGCAGCCTCCCAGCCGCCTCCTGGGAGCAACCCAGGCTCCGTCGCTGGCAGCAGCTACCCAGAGCCAGGGCTGGCTGTGGTGTGCCAAGTAAAATGACCTCGCGTGCCATGCTCGGCACGTGTGCTGTGGGTTGCCGACCCCTGTTTTAACCTGAGCCACAATCTGATTATTGGATCCTGACTCTTCATGAAAATGCCACTGGACCTTCCAGCCCTAAAGGTGGCCAGGTACTCAGTTTTCTCTTTCATCTGGATGGCTTAAGCAGTTGGTTACAAAGAGCTGTGTAGCAACAGGATAAATAGGCAATTTCAGGGATGTAGGGCTTGATCCTGCATGATGCTGAACATTGGTTTGCCTTGACACATCCCTTAAATTCAGTGAAATGAATGAGTTAAAGGTTTTTCTTTTAATTTATTAAATGGATTTATGGTAGTCCTGTTGCCATTTCAGCTAAATACTCTGGGAGTCCTAGGTAGGAATGAGGGGTTTAAATCCATGTCACAAGGGCTTGTTTTTTTGTTGTTGTATGTAATTGCAGGTACATGTACTGGACTGAATGGGGAGGTAAACCAAGGATTGTTCGGGCATATATGGACGGAACAAACAGCATCACTTTGGTGGACAAAGTGGGACGTGCCAATGACCTAACTATTGACTATGCAGACCAAAGGCTATATTGGACAGACTTGGACACAAGCATGATTGAGTCATCAAACATGTTAGGTAATCCGGTTTTATATGCAAGGGAGCACAGATTCATACAGATGTGATGGACCTCAGTAAAAGAATTGAGTAAATGTTCTTTTAAAGTATTAAATTAAAAATTAGGAATGCTTTCCTTTAAACCAATTTCTATTCTAGTATTATGACATAGCTAAGATTTGACTCTCTGGGTGCACCTACATGTGCAATTAATTAGAAGCAATAAACTCCAGATCAATTTGAGCTGGAGTAAACTACTCCCGGGTGTAGCATCTACATGTGTACCTAGGACAGCAGCAGTTTGAGTTGGAGCGGAGCAGTTTACACCAGAGCCAGGAGTATCATAGTGCTTAGGGTCAGACAGGACCTAAACAGATCATCAGGTCTGACCCCCTGCCCCAGGCTGGAACGAGTGCTGGGGTCATAACATCCCAGCCAAATATCTATCTAGCCGCCTCTTGAAGACCCCCAAGGTAGGAGGGAGCACAACCTCCCTTGGGAGTCCATTCCAGAGCCTGGCAGCCCTAATTGTGAAGTAATGCCTCCTGATGTCCAGCCTGAACCTCCTTTCTAACAATTTGTGGCCATTATTCCTAGCAACCCCTGGTGGAGGGCCACTCGCATGGTCAAGGTGCAGCAGGTCAGGCCCTACGAAGAGAGTCTAGAGGGCCTGAATCTATTCAGCCTCCACAAGAGAAAGCTAAGAGGGCATCTGGTGGCTGTTTACAAACTCACCAGGGGGGGCCAGCAGAAGTTGAGTGAGGCTCTGTTCCCCCATATAGGAGGTCAGCCCCAAGGTCCAGGTGGTGGTTGCAGAGGGGCTGGGGCATGAATATGCTGGAAAGTGTGGAGTTGTGTGGTTAGGTGGCTGGCAGGAGTCTGGCCCCCTGCTGGCTGGGCTGACTGGGCTCAATTTACACTCATGGTCCGCGTCTGCACGTGTTTAATCACAATTAATTACCCTACTGTAAGATAGTAGTGTCCCCAAAAGTACTATGTTACAATGGAGTTAATTAGTTTACTGTGGCCTAATATTGTCCACATGTAGACGGTGATGCTTTATTCCACAGCTAATTTGTGTGCTCCACAGTTAAGCACACATGTAGGTGAGGCCACTGTCTTTTTCCCCAAGATATTTACTGTGTTTTGGAAGGGGTTCCATTAAACTTACATTTCCAACTAGAATGTTATTATGCTATTAGATATTTTGGAGAATTAAATGCATAAAGAAACTGACTAAACGTTAATTTTATTGACATGGTTAACAAAGCAGAGGACTAAACATTTCATGTAATAAAAACATGAGCTAGACTTTCTAAAGCAGTTACCACGATGTAATATCATAAGGTCATACGGTCCTCTTGCTCTTGCCCAGTCTTCTGCTCAAGGCAAGATCAACCCAACTAAACCATCCCAGTAAATGGATTGCTCACTGCCACAAAGCAAATGGATGGCAGAGTCAGAATTAGAAACCAAGAATAGCTGATGTCCAATTCTATATTTGTTTCTGTTGAGTAGACCTTTGTTACATGTGAAGTAACATTTCTGGAACACCAATATTACAAGTAACACTTATTTGGAAAAAGATACATACTGTATTTACTTGATTCTGAGACAAAGTGCCACCCCCCTCCCTATTTGACATTGTGTGGGGGAAGCCCGTCATCTTAGAATTGCATAGTGAGGAGCAGGTGGCTGCTGTGACTTGGGCTCCAGCTCCTGCCCAGGGTTGGGGCCATAGCCACAGCTGTGGCCTGCCCCCTCTTACCCTGTCCCTCTGCAGGCTTTTTACCTTACCATCTCCCCAACCCCACAGCCCCACAGCTCCCCAACCCCACATCTCCCCACAGCCTGTGCTCCCTTGCTTGCCCCTTTCTCTTCCCACTTTACCCTTGCTCTGCACCAGTAGGCTCTGTGCATACTGTAGCCTCAGACACTGTGCACAGCCCCAGCCTGGCCCATAGCAGTGGCATGCAGTCCGTATGGCTGCTCTGGGGCTGGCCTGGGGCCTTGCTTTGTACCCCTATGTGGAACAGATGGAGCCTGCCAGCACAGAGCAAGAGTAAGGAAGGGCAGGCAGTGTGAGGAGCAGAGGCTGGTGGGGAGCGGCAAGAGTGGGAAGAGGGGCTGTGGGCAGGCAGGAGCAAGCTGCTTGACCTCCCCACACCACCTGCCCCCCACTGCCTGCTTCCCTGCAGTGGTGTGTGGGGGGATGGACGAATTGAAGGTGATCCCCCCCCAAGTAATTAGATTCTACACATGGAAAAATATAATACATTTATACATTTCCATGTATAGAATTTACTTGTGGGGCCGGGGCCATCATAAATTCAAAGCAGTCTTAGATTCAGGTAAATGTGACATATAACATTTAAATGAATGGTATCAGTATCACTAAAGTGATATTATAGTTGGTTGTGTAGGTATCATAACTTTGTATTTTCAAGACCCTTTTAATTTTCCATGGAAATCTGCCTTGAAAGCTTTATTTTGGACATTTTTATATGTGATCAGAGCAATCTTTTTTTTTTTCATGTTTCTAGGAAGTTTTAGATGCCTTTTCTGTGCTAACATTACACAGGTTCTTATTTAAAATAAAAAATAAAACTTGTTGTGGGATTTGCCATCAGTAAGCAAGAACCCTTGATGTTTTCTGAAGAAATTTGTTTCAGGAAACTATGTAACTGACATCAGCAGCACACGACTTCTCAGCATCTCTTTGTTAACAAAAATTGCTGAGCTGTAACATTCCAGATAGACACTGACGAGCAATGCATGTAGATACCACGTTTACCCAGATCTAAGACGACCCAGAAGTTAAGGTAGACCCCAATAATTAGATTCTGTACATGAAAAATGTATTAATTTAATTTTCCATGTATAGAATCTAATTATTGGGAATTGTCTTTAATTCATCCCTCCCACCACTGCCAGGGGGCTGGTGGTGTGGGGAGGTCAAACAGCTTGCCCCCTGCTTGTGCCTCCCCCCACTTCCCCTCTGCCTCTGCTTCCCGTCCTGCTCCTCCCCCCCTGCCCGCCCCCGCAGACTTCTGCTTCATCTCTCCCCCTCCCCTCCAGCCTCTGTATCCCCCAACCCCCTGGTCTCTGCTTCTTCCCCCACTCTTTATGCTTGCTCCATGCCAACAGGCTTCATCCCTGTTCCAGCCTGGGGCAGTAAGCAGGGCCTGTGTGCTGCTGCTACAGGGCTGGGCTGGGACTGTGCTCAATGCCCCAGACTAGAACAGGGATGGGCCCTGCTGGTGTGTGCATGGAGAAAGGCTAAGCAGGGGGAAGTGGGGCAAGCAGGGAAGGAGAGGCTGCATAGCGGAGGGGTGCAGAGGTGATGGCGGGGTGTGGGGGGAAGCAGGGCAGGCAGTACCTGTGGTTGTGGCCCCAACCCCAGGTAGGGGCTGGAGTCCAAGCCATAGCAGCTTCCCTCCCCCCCGCTGCCCCATATTCAATTCTAAGATGAGGGGCTTTTTTCCCCATGTGAAATGGGGGGAAACCTCATCTTAGAATTGGATAAATATGGCATATACAACTGCATTTACCTCAGTATTCCTGTATACACTCATGAAACCATAAGGAAAATAGAAAATTAACAATGCAGACTATCATGCCTCTGGATTACCGATTCTGCACTTAAGTGTTGATCCCAGGTTATGTACACATTAGGCTTTACCCTGGCTGTGATAAAGTATTGCTGCTGTCTCCTGGCAGCCAGTATTGGAACAACTGAAAATTGAGGAGGGAAGAGATTTTGGAAAATGGGCTTTCTGAAAAAGTTTTTTAAAAAAATAGAATGATTTCTTTGGAGCATTGTCAAATAGCTGTGTGGTTCTTAAAAAGTCTTCTATAATCTAAGTTTCCCCAGTGGATGTCACTGATTACGTTAATGTCTGTGGAAGTAGATAGAAAGTGCATTACTGATTGGAAATCAAGGCTTGGATTCTGTAGTATGTATAGCTTTTCTGTCAATCACTTTTGATATGGTCATTCATGAGACTGTTTAGGAAACTCAATTGCCAGTTGAAATCTGTGGTACTGGGCAGGGCCTGAGCCCTGCCGCCATAACAGCCTTGCAGACTATGCGCCGCTGTTACAGGGCTGGGCTGGGACTATGCTTAGTGTCTCAGGCAGTATTCAATGGCTCCTCCTCCCACTGAAACAAATTTAAATCAACCATGTTAAATTAAACTGATATCAACAATGTTAATAGTTTATTTTTGTGGGGGGAGGAGGTACCAGGTAGCCATTTGCTGAAGCTGACATTGAGGTAGGTAATTCATTTCTTTAGCAGAATCTACAGAAATTAGCAAGAACTCAGCTGGATTTTTTTTGCCAACCCACTGGGTAAAGGATATATAACTAGGATGAGTCTAGTGGCAAACCTTTACATGTAGTGTGGGACTGTAAGGATCCTGTGCTGAAAAGAAGCTGGTTAGGGGCCGCAGAAAGGAATACACTTGACCAGGGAGCAGCAGCTGTGAATGAAACAACCTGAAATGGCTGAGCAGATGCTGTTCTCAAACCAAGTAGTCCCCACAAATAAGTCTAAAATGCCATCCCCCTTCTTGGTGGTTTGTTCTGTTGAATCAATAGAGACATAACATGAAACTCAGCTTGAGCCTTCTCTTCAAGGGTTGACTGTTGCTACATTTCCTCTTTCCAAACAGCCTAGCCCAAGTCCTAGATCCTCTCTCTAGAGAGATTTCCCATCACCCTGAAGTCCACCTGGGTAACAAGCCACATGCCTGGATGAGTCAGGAGAATTTAACCTTTTTCCATCAGGGTCAATAGCTGCTAGCAGGGTGGGATCTTACAGGCAAAAGTTACCAGCCTGCTAAAGAGGTTTAAAAGGGGAAGGGGAAACAAAATGGTTGGTGACATGAAATTAAATTCTGTTTATGTCATGCACACGATTAGTTCCACTAAAGCCAGTCAAAGTGCTTTCACCAAACAGAGTTGAGAAGTGTTTTCCCCAGGGCCACATTAACACATGGCAAAATTACAAAACTAAGGGTTATTTATCCTTGGAAAAGAAAGGTGGGAAAGAGCATGACTCAGTTTTTCCCAGCTGTTAGGAGCACAGTTTAATGAGGGGCATGTGGTTTGTTACCCAGGTGGACTCAAACATAAGCCCTATAGGCCAGATCTGGCCAACGGCACCCTATAATCCAGGGCTGGGCAAAATGCAGCCCGCCAGGCCATTCTATCCAGCTCACGGGGCCCCTAAAAAAATTAGAAAAGTAATATTTATCTGCCCCTGGCTGCCTGTCATGCAGCCCTCGATGGCTTGCCAAAACTCAGTAAGCGGCCCTCTGCCCGAAACAGTTGCCCACCCCTGCTATAATCCGGGTGCTGCCCTTTTTGCTGAGCCAAATAATCCTCAGGGCATGCTCACTCAGGCTGGTATCCTGGACCAGCCTGGATGGGTGCTGCCTGGGTTGTATCAGGCATGTGAACAGGAGAGGGGGAAGAAGAGGAGTCAAGTCAGTGCCACACTCCTGCAGCTCAGATGAGCTTGACACCCCTACTCTAACAATTTTCATTTCCTCCTCCTTCTATCCTGTTGTACAATGTGAAGATAGGAAGAAGTTTCATGAAATTAAAGGGCTGTAACTTCAGTAAAAAATAAAATGTGTTTACTAGAAGCTATCTGTCTAGGAAAAATAAAATCCTCCTAGCTTTCTTGTTACTGGAAAGTGCCCTTTTATGCTCTGCCTTCTTCCTCCCATCTAGGCTAACTCAAGTCCTGGAAAAGGCAGGGCATTCTGTACATTCTGGCACTGGGTGCACGTTAGAAGAAATGAAGGCACCCAGGGTACATCTCCACTTGGTGTAAATAGGCAATTGGCATAGCTGCCTTGGAAACATGTAGGAAGTGGTTACAGCAGGATTTGCCACAGAAGTTCATTTTGTTCAGTGTCAGGCCTCTGGCAATGGCCAATACCTGCTGTTCCAAAAGATGATAAAACTATTAGTAACCTTGCTAATTAAACAGTGTTGAATATGGGAGTGTTGGGAATCTTTCCATGCTAATGATGTCTTAATCATGCTGAATATCTATCTTTGTTGGCTTTTTTGGCAGGGGCGGAGGGCCGAGGAGGGATGCAAAAGGGGTTACTAAAGCAATCTAGAGGAATTCTATTATTAGATCTGTCACTTAACTATATGTTGCTTGTGTTTTGTATATTAAATGTTTGTTTTAACTGGATTAAATATCAACCAGGGATTAAGATTATTCATAAATATCTTGCTTTGGATCCAGTTGGGGGTACTGACCGCAAGATATTACTTAGAATTTCTTAAAATGGCATTTTTCAGTAGGGTTACCTCTGAAGTAAGAAACTGCTCAGTGTGAAGAAGGAATTTGACTGAGAGGGGCCAAATTTTAAAAATAATTATGGGTTACCTTTAAAGAGAAATTGTTTAATTGGAACTCAGAATTCCATAATATTGACTCTGACCAAATTATTTTTGCAAAAATAAAATGTTTTTGTAAAAAATCAAGCAAGGTATTAATGCCAAATTAATAATCTTTTATATGGGCACTTGAATGCAACTGTGCTCAGTTACTATGTGCATTTATTGCTAATGGTATGTAATTACATTTTCAGGTCAAGAAAGGGAAATAATAGCAGATGATCTGCCTCATCCATTTGGATTAACCCAATACAGTGATTACATCTACTGGACAGACTGGAACCTTCATAGTATAGAAAGAGCCGACAAGACAAATGGGAAGAACCGAACACTAATTCAGGGCCACCTGGATTTTGTGATGGATATATTGGTCTTCCATTCATCACGCCAGGATGGCTTAAATGACTGTGTGCAAAATAACGGACACTGTGGTCATTTGTGCCTTGCCATACCCAATGGGTACAGATGTGGCTGTGCTGCTCATTATACCTTGGACCCCAACAGCAGGGATTGCAGGTGTACGTCCCTTTTGTTTCTCATGATATTCACAGGCACTTATAGGTCTTTGCTGCTTGTGATTACTGTTATTAGAAAAAGGGATCGACACCTGTACATGTGAAGGTTGCTGGTTTTAAAGGTGATCAAAATGAAGAGAAAAACATGGGTTTGTGCTCTTCTTAAAATGTACAAATTAGGGCTGGAACATTTGCTTGCTTTTTAAGTCATAGACATAACAGCCTTGTCAAGTCTGGTCTTTCTTGTTTTGCTGGATGTGTTTCTTGGGTGATTCAGATGTGCAATAGAAGTTTTCCCAGCCTCTAATTGAATGAGTGGGTGGGTGTGAGTGAAATTTTCAAGGCTTCTTTTCTTCTGAGTGTATTAGTTATACTAGTGTTAATAGACACAACAAAAATAACACGTAAGAAAATAGGGTTTTTTAGATAATCTGGACAAGCAGTCACAAACCCTTTCAATTAATCAGACTTCATTTCCATTGTGTATCTGATGTCATGATCTTGCTAGTTCTCCAGTGGTCCACAGAGCCCTTCCAGATGAGGCCTAATTTTCACATGTGGATAAAAGTCTTGGGTAGAGGCACCATTGTTGGATTGTTGTTCAGATTTAGATGATCCTGCTTACACACACATTTTTCAAGTACCCCTGTCCACCACCAGAAAGAATGATTAATCACCCAAAGGGATAATATCTGAAAGTACTTGCCTTTGTTAGTCTTAATTTCACAGTTGTTATTCTAACAGCAGTATGCTTCCTGCTGTGGAATTCAAATCTTCTATTAATATTAAGGGAAATACAGTCTTGGCATGATAGTATCATCTTTCCCTTCCAAAACAATGAAGCATTGAATAAAAACGGGACCATTTAGACTTAATAGCAAAAATCACAAATTGGGAGTAATTAGTTTTCATTGTGAATACTTTTTATCCCTCCTGAAATTTTTCTTGGTGTTATGTATTGCATTTCCTCCTCTTACGCACTCTTATTTGACTCATTTCAGCACCCAGCAGCTTCTTACTGTTCAGCCAAAAGTCTGCAATCAGTCGGATGATCCCAGATGACCAGCAAAGTCCAGATATCATCCTCCCTATGCATGGGCTAAGAAATGTCAAAGCCATTGATTATGATCCCTTAGACAAACTGATTTATTGGGTGGATGGACGTCAAAACATAATTAAAAGAGCAAAAGATGATGGTACCCAGGCAAGTTTACATGTTGCATACATAAAAAATAGTATATTTTTGTTTGAAGTTTTCAAAGCGGCCATCAGTTCTTAATTTTTATTCCTGCTAATATTTTTACTCATGTTTAATTTTATTCTCTGTGGAAAGCATGTAATGATTTACATGACCCAAGGTCTAAATTTGCACACAGTCATGTTGCTATATAGTGTATATATCATAAACTGTGGACCTTACAACTGTGATAGATAATCAGTGACATGAAGCACACTTTTGTATACCTACTACTGAGTTAAACACTTTTAAAATCAGTGCTGTGTATACCATTCTTCAGTGGTATCATGATTGTAAAGATGCCTGGCACTAAAAAACAGTACTGTCATCTCAAAATCACACTTAAGTCCCAGTTCATTTTAAAGGGCTTTGCTGACTAAAGATGGATTTAAGCACATGCTTAATTGTGTTGCTAAATCAGGGTCCTAAATGTCTTGTTCCAGCTACTTGAACAGTAGTGGGGAAAAGTGGGTTGCTACTTTTAGATAATGACAGCCACTCCATGCTTACCATATTCTGGGAGTTCAACGGTTTCATTAAACATGCCATTAGAAAAAATAGTATGCAAACAAATTTGAGGTATACAGGATTTAAATGCACAGTTCTTTGCCATCTGTAATCTCTGTTACATGATTTACAAGGAGTATAATCTATCTATGTCTTCTCTTCGTGCATTCAGAGACCCAGGTACAAGGTACCTGATGTATAAAAGATTGGTGTCATTCCAACAAACGAAGGAAAATTTTCACTTTTTTATGCCTTTTGATTACTGTCTTTGGATTCTTTGGGAAGGGGCGGGGGACAGGGTTGGGATGAATTACTAGTTGAGGATCTTTCAGGGATGTTGGTTGTAGCTGTGTTGGTCTAAGGGCACAGGCAGACAAAACTCTTTGGGTAGAGATGATATCTCTTATTAGACCAACTAAATATTTGCAATTTTTTTTTCTTTGCAAGCTTTTGCATTCACACACCTTTCATCAGGCCAAGGAGAAATTAGAGATGGTAAAACTTCTCCCAGTAGAAAAGCCAGTTTGTAAAAAGCTGTTCTCTGAGAATGCATTTGCAAACCCATTTGCAAATGCATTCTCACAAAGCAGCTTTTTACAAACTGGCTTTTCTACCTGGGAGACCTCTTACCATCTTTAATTTCTCCTTGGCGTGATGAAGCTTCTTTAACTGGGGGGAACTCTTACCATCTTTAATTTCTCTTTGGCTTGATGAAGGGTGTGAGAGCCTAAAGGCTTGCAAAGAAAAACATTTTTTTTGCAAATATTTAGTTGGTCTAATAAAAGATATCACCTCTACCCAAAGAGTTTTGTCTGCCTAGTTGGGGGTGTGGAAGAGTTTTGAGGAAGTGTTACACAAGGTGTTAATTGTTGGAGCCTAGTTTCTCTTTATCGGTACTCAATAGGTGTAAATTACATTGGAGATTAATTTGCTCTGTGGGGTTTTTTCTACTGTATTGCATTGGTTAAAGAATGTTAGGGGCTTTGAAGAAGTAGCTTCTCTGGAAATTGGACTTTCCAGTTTACAATTTTCATTACTTATGCTTTTGCAGAATTTTGTTACTTAATGGTCCCATGAATTTTACTAATTAATGCTTTGTATGGATATTGGATATTATTTGTCCATTTCTGGGTAAAGTTCTCCATGCGTATGGAAGAGATTAGCTTTGTTTTATTTATTTCCATATTTCCTGACAAGATGAATAGTCTACACCTACAAATAATGCCTTGCCTGAGTCACTGAGCACAACTCATATTATTAAATCAAGTTTGTAAACATCCAGTGCATTTTTGCAAATTCACAGTTTTTTTCTTGAAATTGTTGGCTTAGACCAGCAGTTCCCAACCCAGGGTCATGACTCAAATGAGGGTCGCGGGGGCAATGTCGGTGGTGCCACACAGAAAAGACGAGCCTCACCGTGTGCTGGGATCTCCCCGCCCCCCAGGCTGCCACTGCCGCCACACTCCACTCCCAGCCGCGGGGTGCGAAAGAAAAAGGTTGGGAACCACTGGCTTAGACTGAGTATAAACTGGACTGCTTCACTTCTTGAGTCTTACGTACTTGCTTTGATGTTGCTGTGTTTTGGAGTTGAAAAACTGCACTGTGTAAGTCAAGTAAGCAGTTATGCTCATGACAGTCACTGTGGCTGCTTATAGGCATTAAAAAATACCCCCCAAAAAGTGCAGTACTGGAATAAGCAGTGCAGTAGTTTGACCTAGCTCTGTAGCATCTGTATAGATTGGGCACTTCAGTGGGGCATTTTGGTGATTTTATCTAATAGCTGATTCAATTAGCTGTTACATCAAAGTGCCAAAAGCCCCACTAAAGTGTCTGATCTGTACAGACATTGGGTGAGCCGGGTCCAGCTAACACAGTGCCTCTTCTGGGCATACAGTGAGCTTGGTGTGGGAGTGTGCTGAGTTTACAGTGCCATTTTTTGCTTTTTTTTAACATCTGTAAGCAGCCTCTGAGACCAGAGGTGATTATTCTCAAATTTTATTAGAATATGCGGCTTCCAGGATGAGTACCCAGAAGATGTTGCAATGGAACCACAGTATTGTTAATACCAAGTTTTAAAAAATCATGAGCTTTTAAAAATAATACATTTTAGTTTCTCTTAGGTTTGTGGGCCTTTCGGATAGATGTTTCCAAACTTTTCTCCATAGAATGGTGAGGGCTAGAAATGTTCTACATTATCAAACTGGCTAGCATAACCAAAGGACAGCAGTAGCCTAGGGCTTTATGAAAAACACCAAATATTGTGAGCTCCATTCAGAAAATGGGAAATAATTTACAACCATGCTCATGTGGACAGGGCAACACTGCAAGAGCTCAGCTCATGGAGAGGACAGCTGAATTAAAAACTGCTCAGTTTTGTAACATATATGCTTCAGATTTACACAGTTAACTTTATAAGATGGTCCTATAAATGGGTTCATCTTGTCATTAAGACATCTAATCTATTCCGTGCTTAATTAATAAGTGTTCCATACATATTCTTGTCCAGACACATTTTGATTGATTTTAGTGATAGGGTTTATTCAACTACATTTCAGAGCTTTTTCACAGATATGTTGATTTTATTCACATATTTTCCCCTTGTTCAAAGCTCAAATCTTTATTTGCTCCATTTTGCTCCTTGCTTGCACTTGGTCTTTGCTGATCATTTTGGATATTTCTTTATATATAAGGATGCAAGTTCCACCCATCCTCCCTCTTCTCCCTCCACCAGAAATGAAGCATTTCCACAAACCGTGTCTTTTTTATCTTGTAGCCCTTCACTGTTATGAGCACTCCAAACCAAAGCCAGAATCCAGAGAAGCAACCACATGACCTGAGCATCGATATTTATAGTCACACCTTATATTGGACCTGCGAGGCCACAAATTCAGTCAATGTCCACAGGCTGAATGGTGAGGCAATTGGAATGGTGTTACGAGGAGATCATGACAAGCCAAGAGCCATAGTAGTTAATGCAGAGCGAGGGTAAGACTCCTTTCTGTGATTTGGACAAACAGGGCACAGGGGATTTTTTTATGTATCCACTTTGTACAATATCTGTGTGTGTGTGTGTGTGTGCGTGCGCGTGCATGGTGTGCACATACATACATTTGATTGCTTTGGGCCAAATTCGCAGATCCTCTGAAGGACACACCGCCATCAATGTTAATAGAGTCATACTGAGTTTATGCCAGCTAAGGATGTAGCCTGTGATGTTTAGTCACCCAGAAAATAGTTTGCAGAAATGGGTCAGGTCTCCATTGTGATAAAATATCACAGCAGCTACTAAGGCAATTGGATAAGAACAGATGGTTTTCCTTTCTGTGTACTTTCGGCCAGTTTTGCCTGAATTTTATTTTGCAATTGTGTTTTTAAAAACCTTGAAATGAATTAAAGCAGGTAGCACATGCTGGAGTGATTTTTCCATGGCAGAGGAAATACAAGGAGTTGTTTTGCTATGTCATAGTTTTGGTTATATTCAGGATACCACATCTCTAGTACATAGTTGCATTAACTTTGGGTTTACAAGTAAGGGATGAGCCCTTTTACTGCTCTCTTTAATAAGTTAGATGCTTAGTTCCCTGACCACTAGAAAAGTAGCTTGAGAATCATATGTTTGACAGATGTTGTCTGACAGTATTCCATAATCGTGCAGACACAGAAGTTCCAAGAAAATCTGTCTGGAACAATTGCAGGGTTTTTAGTTTACTGTTCAATTAGGGTATGTAGGATAGTGTACAGTGCTTGATACATTTAACTCATCTTAGA